AAATATAAACCTGGGAAAACTCCAGGCTTACTACCAGCTGATGAATCAGATCAGTGATATTTCATTACTGTTCATCTGTCTGGGTATCTCTGCTCTCTGGATGGTGCTGTATACAACAAAGTTAAACCACGAAGCTAAGCCCTTACGTGTTTTCTGTAACACACATTTTGCTGTAGCAAACTAAGGTGCTGTGTTTTTGAACAATCAAGTCCTTAAGATGGCACATATGCAGCCACAAAGAGCAGAAGCTTCCCTTGCTTAACTGCTGCTAGTAACAGAGATGAATAAGAGACTGCTGCTGGGAATAACTTCAGGAATACCTAAATTGATGTTGCTGTGGTTCAATGAAGCAGTGATGTTTGTAGGTAATTAAAATACAGCTATTCACATCTGGTGGTCAGTACCAGTGCCAACATGTACTTCCAAACATAATAGCACAGTCAGGCCAATACTGTCTGAGATGTGCTTGAAATGTGGCCTTGTTTTATAGGGCAGAGCTATGGAAACTTTAATGATTTACCCAAACTCTTCAAGGTAGCAAATCCTACAAGAAACAGCTGTGACTGTTCATATCAGAGCTGTAAAGAGCTAAAGACAGTATAAGACAGCAATCCCCTCTCTTTTCTTTCTGCCATTCGTTGTCATGCTCACGTCAAGACAATCCAGTCTGCCCAAAGACAGGACCTCCAAGACCCAGGAAAAAGCGTTCCATTTGCCATTCTCTGTGACCCTAACTGAACTACACACAGCTTACACAAAGCTTTCACAAACACATTTTGGGGTTCGTTGTTTGGTTCGGGGTTTACTTTTTCTTCTCCATTTAAGGTCATTTCAATGGTGAGTTTTTCTTTCCTGATCCTGGTAGAGGTCTTGTCTTTGCTGGAGTTGAATTCTAACCAGTTTTGCTGGCTAGAATACAATTAATTTTAAATCAAACTCTCTATGGTTAACCTTGCATGGCCCGGAGCAATTCCCCAGCTCATGGAACAAAGGGTCTTGTATCCTATGATCATATGCTTTAACCTCTCTCCTCCATCCGTAATTTATACTAGTTTTGCAATTACTGGAAAACTAAGTTTGAAGTGGGTTTTGAGGAAGAAATCAAAATTGAAGCAGAAGCAATGAGTTAAAAACTATGCAGGTAGCTTCTCCATAAAAACTAAATACACAGGTAAAATACACAGCAGTCTTTTCCAGCCTGGGTTCTGTTGGCTCGAGGGCAGGCCAAGACATGTAGCAAACACAGCATAGTTGCCTGCAACTAAAGCTTTGGGTTGCTTTCAGCTGGTCATCTGAGCAGAAGGAACTTACCCGATTTCCCTAGAAGGCATATGGTCTATCAGCACAGATAGCCACAGCTGAAAAATAGCATTTCCTGGGGGCTGATCACAAGAATTGTATTGCAATGGAATGAACAGAGGGAGAGAAATAGGGAAGAATATGGGGGGGGGGGGAGGAAAGCAAAATCCAAAATACAGATCAAAGAGTGAGTTTAGTAGCATGAACTGTTCACAACTCTGTCACAAGACACTGTTTTTCTTAGTAATGCAAACTCCCCAACTGCTTGACTGGGAACAACATGAAATCTGGTCTGTTGTGGAAATGGCTTTGGTTTGGGAGCATGCAGGGCCCAGGGGTATAGTGAATTTCGAAAGCAAGCCCAAACTGAGCTTGCCTCCCCCCCCCCGAAAAAATACTATAGCAAATTAGACCTTGCCACATGCAGACAATTAGCAATGTCTTGGCTGGCCTTCATAATCCACAGAGTGAAAGGAAATTCAGACCACTTTTGATGATACCACATTCTGAATCACACGACCACCAGAGGAATTCAGAGCATCATATTCCCAAAAGGAATGAAGAGGAATGTCTGAGCGTTGTCTTGAAAACAGAGCTGGAAAGCTGAAGAAATACATTTATCCCTGCTCAAACAAAGGAAAAGAATATCTACATAAAACTATATAAAAATGAGATGTATACAAAAATAAAATGTATCTAGAAAGAAATCCAATGCCAGTGACAAGACTATCTGGCCACTCACTGGTTCATTTCATCTCTACAACCCATACCTAAAAGCATAATTTACTGCCAGCAACTTCACAGTGAAGGTTTAATCAAAGACTGGATTTCAGCAAAACCTCCTTAATAGGAATCCATGACACCCAGAAGAAAAATCCCAATGGTTTTGACTAAGTGTGAACAAAGCTCTTATTCTGACAGAGAAAAGCTTTACATTTATTGAGGGTAAATCCCTTATCTCCTCTGCAACAGAACCTCCTCCGATCGATGTCGTCAGCTGCAGCATGACACTGTGCAAACGTACCTGTTGGTATTCTTGTCTCATTTGCAACTGGGATGTTTACAAACAAGTGCTCTGTCGCATAAAGAAACATACTCAGAAGCCAAATGCTTCATTTTCTACTTTCCCTGCTGGCTCTATTAAAGATATATGAGAGACCTCAGAGGTTGGGATTTTCTGGCGTTACCTTTAATGCTGCATTAACTCTGATCAGTTGCATAACGACGACTTGGGCATGGGAAAATTAATCCATCAGTCCCAAGGTTACTTTAACCTGGACCTGGTTTTGCTGATTATGGTACAGGGAAAGATCTTTAAAGGCGATCGGTTTGTTCTCTTTGGCTTAGAAATGTTCAGCCTTATGCCAGGTCTCCTTGACACAAGGCCTTGCTTTATAACCTAGAGCAAACTGAGGCAGAGGAAATAAACCCTCCAAGATCAAGAAGAACCAGGAGCAGAAACTCTTCATTATGAACTTCACAGTCTTCTTAATTCTAGCTATATACCTGCTACCAGTTTTGCTGTGATTCTCCACAACTGTGATTCTCAGCAACTTTATATGGCTGCAAAGCAGTTGTATTGATTAAACCAAAAAAACTCTTTAATGTTTTACTGTGTTCTCCCAAACCTCCTCACTTTAATGGGTAAGTTTATTTGTACTGTCTTTGCCAGCTGCTGCAATGCATAAGAATAACTCAGTTAAATGTCAATTTCTTTATAAAATATCAGTTCTTACCGTTCCTGTCTTCAAGACCACACTTTATTACCTTGTGAACATCGCCCTTCCTGCATGGAGTTAATTAAGAAGCAGGAGAAGCAGAGCATTCAGCTGCAGCCATCACATCAATACAAAGGAGCTGCTCCAAGACAGAACAAGGGAGAATTTGCCTACTCCACTTGCTCAACCACTTCTGTCACATGAGACGTGGCACTCACCTCCTCCCCATCACCACCTCTACACCCCAGGCTCTTTCCTGCTGCTCCTACCTGGAAGCCAAATGCCTGTTAACTACTGAGAGTTTTGTGATCTTCCTGGTAAAGCTGGGCACAAACAGACAACTGTGTTTTATTTGTAGACTGTGAGTCAGGAACAGCCTCATGTCACGGGGACTCTTGCCACTACCTGGCGATAAATAATAATCGACACTAACAGTGCCAACGGAGCTTTAATATTTGCCTTTCATCTGCTGTGGCAACAAGCCGAGAGGAACACTGGGTTTCTAAAGGGACTGAGTTTAATTTGCTTGTGTAATTTGGACATTACATGAGTTTCAAGGGCCGTCTGGATAACTCAGGCACACGCCAGCACCAGCCCACTCCATCCAGCAGCGTGAAGGGCAGTGAATGAACCAGCCAGCACCGGTTATACCACGCTCAGTGGAGGAGATCTGAGCACCAAGCTGATGCAAACCTCTGCCCAGCTTCCTGCTGCTCACCAGCACTTCTCCTGCCTCCAAGAGCAGCCAAGAGCTTCTGTCCTCAGCTGGGAATAGGAGGTTGGATCCATCAGCAGTCTACCTGATGGAAACATCAAGGAATTTGGTAATACATCACAGTCCAAGTCAAATCAGGACCATGGTCTACTTTTGGCTATGTCGGACCTCTTCAAGCCTGCCTGCTTAAGCTTCACTGAAAGGAAAAGGAAAGATTCATCTTCTTTCACCCAGCATGAGTGACCACAGCAGTGACAGCTGTGTTATCCCATGGGTGCACCAGACACATATGACCGAGGCTGGACAGGACCTCTTAAGCTCAAGCAGGGCTGTCCAGTTGGGCTTTGGTTATCTCTATGGATGGAGATCCCTCCCTTGGCCACGTATCCCAGCGAACTGCCACTCTGACCACACAAAACCCCACGTATTTCCATATGTTTAGCTGGAGTTTCACATGTTTTGGTTTGTGCCCATTCCAGAGCTGGGACCCATGTCCCCCACCCCTGAGAAAAAGCCACCTGAAACCCAGCTGCTGCCCTATTTTACAGAGGTTTGGAGGCCAGCGGCACCACTACGACTGCCCAGGAGTTTCACAAGGCATTTCCAATGCTGTGGTTGGAGTCAGGCTTCATAAACACTAATAACAGGCGAGCGCCTCAGCACCACCCCGCTTCCCACCGCACGGCGGATTAACGCCTCCAGCCTACCCCCCGGCCCCATTCCTCCTCCGAGGCCGTCAGCACCTGCCGGGGGCGGGCGCGGCCGGGCCCTACCTGAAGACGCGGAGCAGGAGGCAGGCGATGAGCGCGGCTGTGAGGCCGCAGGCCCCGATGACGGCGGCCTTCAGCGCGGAGAGGTCGCGGAGCAGCGCGGGCACGGGCCGGAGCTGGGCCCCGCTGTGGTTGCCGGGCGCGCTGGCCGGCTCTGCGGGCAGGCGGCTGCCGTTCACCGCCGGCTCCTGGCTGCCGCGGGCGCCGGGCGCGGCCGGCAACAACACGGGCAGCAATAGGCAGGCCCAGAGCAGCAGCAGCGGGGCTGTGGAGCGCATCCTGCCCGGCTCCGGCCGCCGCCGCCGCGCCGAGCCCCGGAAGGCAGCGCCGGCCCCGGCCCGGCCTGTCCCGCCTCCCCGCCTGGCACCGCCTCCCGCGGCCGGGGCCCAGCTGCCGGGCCGGGGTTCGCCGCGGTTGTGAAGGGGCCGCTCCCGCGGGCTCCGGCGCTCCCTACCCGCCCGCCCCGCGGTCCCCGGAGCCCCGGCGGTGCCGGTGCCAACGCCATTTCCTCGCCGGTAACGACTGCTTTAACCACAACACGCACCAGCTGCCCAGATGCGAAGCGATCCCAGGGTTCAAACTGCGATCAGACATGGAACAGACGTGCCTGTGATGCCGGTTCAGCGCGGCGTAGCTGCTGAACTCAAGTATTTATAGACCAGATTTGCTGGGTTTTGCCTTTCCTCTGGTCCCCCAGGCTTTGCTTCCTGGTTAATTTATATATTCCTGTTTCACATCTTGAAAGCTTAAAGATTCATGGAAATCCGAGCCACGGTTCTGCAAACCATCCCGGGTGTGCTGAGCATGCAGTGCCATCCACTGAGCCAGGCAGGGGAGTAAATAGGGGAGAAGGGAGCCTGTGCTGTGATAACTTTCAAGATATAACTTACTTTACTCCCTGTGTTTAGTGTGAGCATGAGTTTACCTACTGCAAAGTAACTGTGGGAAGAGGGGATGTTGCTACTGAAATGAAACGAGGAAGGGAGAGAAGAAGGAGCTGATTTCCTTCCTTTTGAACTCTATAGTTCCAGGGTGGCATGACTGGGTGTAATCGGTAGGAATGTGTGACTAAACTGCAAAGATTACAGGGATGTATCCCTGCTGGCAGTGTCCCATTGGAAAGGTAGCAGTGAAATAACGTGTGGTCATCGTCTTCCCTACCTAGTTGAGATGCTGTATGGAATGCCACCCGCTCGGTTAGAAAAGCATCCTATGTTATTTTGCAGGAAGTTCTTTGGGATGAGGAAGTTTTGACGTGCACAATGTGCAGAAGGCCCCTTAGGCTGCGTGAATCGGTCATTGTTGCAGCTTGATTTCATTGCTGACTTTTTGTGTACTTGCCCAGTTTCCAAGTGGGGCCCCAGTTTATTTCTGTGCAGGAAGAGAAATAAATAGATAAAACCCAACACAATGCAGGAGGTCAGGTCGGTGATGCAGGCTCTGAGCGCTTCTCATGATTTGTTATTTGTGAACACTGGTGTTGGCCCTGCCTGTTCTGTTTGCCAGCTGCTGCCCAGCTTCTGTCAGATTCCTCTTGGTCCTACCCTGCTGTTCCTCTTGCAGTGCTTCTCCACAGCACAATGGCAGTGTTCAAGGCCAGGTTGGATGGAGCTTTGGGTGACATGGTCTAGTCTGAGGTATCCCTGCCCATGGCAGGGGTTTGGAACTAGAGGATCTTAAGGTCCTTTCCAACCCAAACCATTCTGTGATTCTATGGAAGAGGAGTAAGGAGCTTCCAAAGCAAGAACCACTTCAGCTGTTCATGGAGTTTAAGGTCCAAATCCACATCTACCAGTTGCCTTTACTTGTCTGTGTGAAATCAGAGTTCCACAGTGCCATGTGCTGGGCATGTACCTGGGGAAAGACACTCTTCACCCTCAGAAACTCGTATTTCACAGTCACTGTACGGGGTGGGTATGAATCCAGTCGGGATTCTGCCCTCAGTGCTCAGCTGTTAGACAGGAGTGATGGGTAAACACTAGCTGATGTCTCACGCTCATCCTTACATCTGTTCCTTTCATTTTCCTTGGGCCAGGCGAAATTAATAGCAAAGACTCCTCCTAAGCTTGCTCAAAGCCAGCTTCACCACGGAGTGATGCAGGATGGGTGGGCAGCACAAAATCCTTCTGAAAAGCACGAGAAATTAATATTGCTGGACCTACAGTGTTCCTGTGATCATCTTTAACCTTATCTGGGCATTGCTGCTGTGGTGCTGGGCTGGGAAAGGGGCTCTGTGGGCTTTGCAAGCCAAGTCGTTGTGTTGCACATCTATTTTTTAAAAGAGGCAGACTTATTCCTGAAATAAACATTCTGCAAATGTGCAGAAGGATTTGCTGTATTGTATGCACCTATCTGTGTAATTGCCTCTGAAATGCACAGCCTGAAACATCTATTACTTGACTAGCATAAACTGGGCAGTGGTAGATGCTGAATGTGGCACTTTTGTTTGACTCTTATTGCTACTTTGTTGGCGTTTTTTATATTCCTGTGACAGATACTTCAATCTAGTAAGATTTAGGCTGAAAGCCAGCACAGGGAATTAATATTTATTGTCGCTGCAGAGTTCCTCTATTTGACAAGGTGCAGCGTATGGTGTCAAATATATTCCTAACAGTCTGGAAATGATAAAGCTCAAAATTCTTCTGGCTTGTTCCTAACCCCCCTAAGAAGTAAAGCTTATGCTGATGGGGGTATGGTACTCAGGTGAGAAGCTGCACAGCAGGAGGAAGAAGAGGAAGGTGTTAACCATGTGTAAAGTGCAGTTCTGTTTGTACCATTGCTCTGCCCCGTGCCTTCTAAGGATCTTATTTATACACTTTTCTGCCTGGGTCTGACAATAGCTGGGAGCAAACAGCCTCTCTGTAATGGTGGTTAATGATTTTGATGCTTTTTATTGCATTACTTGCATTCTGTTCGGTTTGATCAGTGATGTTTAGATACGTGCGGTACAGGGTGACTCTGTTTGGAAACTGAACCTGCAGCATCAGGGGATCTCATAATTCATACCTCCTTGTACCCCCTGCATGAGCCCTGCATGTCTTTTCCACTGAAAGATACCAGATAAATGCAGATGTGACCAAACACAGTGTTTCAGGACACTAGTGCTGAGATTATACATCAGCGGCACTGGGAGCTGCATCTGAAGCTCTCTGAAAGAAAGAGGAATCTTCCTCTTAGGCAACCCTTCCAACTCTGCATTGCTTTGAGGAGCTGAGCATGTGCCTGGAGGTGTCCGTGACCTTCTGGGAGGAGATGGAGCAGAGATGCTGGCTGGTGCTCCGCAGCATTAGTCCTGTGGCTCATCAAGGGAGCCACAGAGAATGGGCAGCATGGGATGGGTGGGTGAATGTGTAGCATTCATGTACAGCATTCATGTAGGACAATTCTGCTGCTCCTTCTGTCAAGGGATTGCCTCATTCTGTGGCTTAAAAATTGTACTTGGAGCCTGGAGGACCCAGATTTATTCCATGATGTCTCCATTCTGCAGTGCGGAGGGATGTTATATTCACCATCTTGTGCAGGATGCTGAGGAACTGCTCAAGTACAATTTAATTTGGTTTAGCTCTTTAATTAAGCCAGACTGGGCTTTGTTCCCACCTGTTCAATAGAAACCTCAAGTGACTGATTCTTAAGAAAATAATGTTTGAGCTCTGATCCATTTTTTCTGAGCAACACAAGGTATTTAGCGGAGTCTCTTCCCCTTCATATATTAAGAAGGCTGAACCAGTGAAATATGGATGAACTTGCTTGAGAACAAGGCATAAAGCCCCAGGAGGTGGTGTATCTCCTGAGGACTTCCCAGGTGTCAGCTACCTTGAGACAACATGAACTGATCCAGCTGTCCTTGCTGTATTAACTTCCTTTAGAGCCAGAAGAGGGAGATTCTACCCCAGAAGTAAAAATACTAAACCAAGAAATGCTATCCTGGAAAGGAGTCCTGAAAGTGTAAGAAAGGGGGAAAGGGGCCTTCATCTTGATGATGGTCATGGAGTAGGGCCTTCCAGGTTTTGTGCCCCTCAGAATAACATTAGGTAACATTAACTTTCTCTTCATATTAACATTCAAACACATAAATAACCTGTTGGATCAGAGGGAGCGTGGATGCTGTTTTACAGTCCAGCTCCTAAAAAGATGCCATTAAGGTGGGAAGCAAGGCATCTAAAATCTCTGTCAAACAGCATTATCAAAAGGAAATATTTGCAGATTGCTATTATATAAATAATGGGCAAATATTGCTCCTGAATTCTAAATTAACTTTTCAGTCCTAGCTCCATATTCTCCAGATACTGAGGACTTTGTGAGTAAATGCATTTGAGATGAGGAGTCATTGCCACGACAGTTTTGGAGGCTATAATTTGTTTCATATGGCTTCAGGGTTTTTTTGGGGTTTGGGGGTGGGGTGGGTTTCTTTTTTTTTCCTCATGGATGCCTTCCTGATATTTCTCATGTCATTTGCCTAATTTGGGAAACATTCCTGGTTCCTGCTCTGGAATGTGGCATTTCGCAACTCTCTTCTTCAATGACATCATGTGGTTTGTTCTGAACAGAGCAGTAATAAAGAAGAGCAAGGGGAGTTTACCAGCCCTTCTATAATAAACATTTTATGTTAATAGACATCTTTGGGGGATCTGAACTGATTTGTGGGGTTTAGATTTTACCTGGTAAATTGTGTTTTCCACAGATATAGGACAAAGAGTCCCACTTGGATAACAAGGAAACCACATCTCAGTTTCATCTTCCCCTTAGTGGTGGATGTAGACGCCTGCATTCCCCAGAGGAGAACAGGACTTTGAGAAGTGGAGAGGAAATTCAGAGTCAGTGAAAAAGGCAGAAAGTGTTTGTTTCCCTTTCTTGCTTTTTCTTCCCTGATACAAATAGGAACCTGGAGGAGAGGGCTGTGCTGATTGCAGGGGTGAGAGATGGTGAAGCTTATCTCCCCGCTGAGCTGTTCTACACCTGCTCAGCATCATTATAAGTTTAAGCTCTCACTTGCAATTGCACTTTCTATACAAGAGTCTGGTACTGGCTAAATAGAAGAAGCGAGAGTGTTTCCATATGCAATTGCTTCTGGGTATGGCAGATTTCTGTATTTATGGATGCCTATTACAAGAGCATCCCCATTTGTGGGGAAGGCTCTTCATGCATTGCTTAGCAATGCATGTGAAGCTCAGGCTGCCCTTTCCTTTGTCAGAGGAAAATCATCAGAGGCTCTCTGATGGCCTCCAGGCAGCACCCAGATGTATTTTTAGCTCTCAGAATAGGGGAGAAATTGCACAGAGAAGAAATAAGCAAAGGAGTTGAAGCTGGCTCAGTTGTTGGATTGAGGCAAGCTGGATTTGCAGCAATGAATACACGTTTCTGTGTGAGAAATGGAATGTATACAAAATGAGGCAAATCACCTTCCCAAGGATTTTGTGCAGAAGTAATATACCTTCTGGATAAAGAACAGGGTTCCAGTGAGGAAGGAAATAAAGTGTAACCTGTAAAGGATCAGTGCTACATGAGCGCACCTCTGACGTCTCTAAACACCCAGGGTACTGGCAGAGATAGAAATTCAAGGAGCGACCAGGTCTCAATCAGAGTCTTTGGGCTTGGATGTCAGACAAGAGAGCACATGATATTTGCAAGGATAAATCATTCTTCCAGTGGCTATCGATAGATAACCTCCACCATCAGAACAGCAAAATTGCAATGCTTCACCTACCACAAGTGGTCTGTGTGAAGCCCTATTGCTAATTAAAGACCAGTGATCTAGAGCAAGCTTCAGATATACTTGGACAAGCCTGTCTCCTTTGCACATTTCTAGTTAGCACATTATATTAGCCTGTTATTCCTATAACCTTTCTAAACCATTTATGGCTTTTTTTGCAGACACTTAAAAGCTTTATTGCTGCCAAAGGCTTGCAATTTAAGTCTATGATAAGCAGCAGCTTTCGTTTAAACAAAGGTTGGTGCAATCATTAAGTCGGGGTGCAGAGATTATCTCCTGAACAGGTTCCTACACTATCACTAATACACAGTGTCGCAGTCTAGCAGTTAATCTGAAATAAAACCAGGGAAAAGAAGGACACCATTAAACCACAAATCTTTGTTTAGTTTGGATAACAATAATCAAAGAACACAAAAGGCGATTATGACTTTGCCTCCCACTGCTTCGCTGCCTATTCATGCAGTACGTCCTGCCTGGCCCGCTGAAGTGCAACATGAAGGAAGCTGACAAATAATACAAGTCTTTATCTTTTTCAAAGATTATTTGCAGATTGTGTCCTTAGACTGTATTTCTTCATCCCTTCAACTGCATAAACTAAACTCATCGGGGTGGTAGCTGCTAATCTTGCAGCCTCAGATGGCTTTGGAGGTTTATTGATGATGTTAAAGGGACTGCCAAATAGCAGGACTCCAGCCAAGTGACCTGGATGTGAAAAGAGCAGAATTGGATTTTATACCATCTCCTGGTCCAGATGAACTGTTGTCACCCCCAGACATGACACTTACTTTGTCATTGCAGGAGAGACAAGTCAGATTAGGTCAAAGGGGAAATATGTGTGCTGTATTAGTATGCCTCATCCATCAATATCTGCTTACCTATGTCTTAGAAGTCCTGCACAAGAAGCAGAGAATCCACCTGAGCCTTTGCAGGATGCTGCATTAGCACATCATTGTCATTGTCACTTTGAAAGCAACTCTGAGATGTCTGCACACCATTTGTCACGCTTTGGAGCACGTTGCTGGTCTCCAGAAAGCCTGAAGCTCAGAGCTGCCGTGTGACTTGTCTGTCCATTCCCTGGTGGAACACCTCACCCTGATGGGTGCCTCCCCATCCCACAGTGTGGATTGGAGGGACCCCGCTGTTCCCAGGTGCTGTATTGTAAAGGATGCACCATGACAAAGTGCTACAGAAGAGATAGTTATTGAGAGCAGCACTCCTTGCCAAGCATCTGGTTGCAGTTCACAGGAGTCCCAGCACCCAATGGAGCAGGGATGAGACAAACTGCCTCCTGGCTCTGCTGAAACATTCCCCTTTAAGTAGCAGCAGACTTTAATTCTGGTTTAACGGAGCAATGCCTGCAACTGTCATCCCAGCACCACCCTTTCTCTGGGAATGACGGTGAGCTTGATTTGCCTTAAGTAACTCCCCAGTGGAGCAGCTCCCCTGGAAGCTGTGAGATCAAACACTTGGCATCTTGTTACAGGAATCAGCAGATAGAGGATTAGAGACATGCAAGTGGCACCCACTCTCTGGGGAAGAAAGGGAAACATCTGTTAACATCTGCAGCCAGGCTTCCAAATCCCCAGTGTCAACCAGACCTAAGCCTGTTTCATGGCAAGATGGATACCAGGAGGAGGACCTCCCAAAAGGTGTACTGCCAAGGGACAATCCGTGAGCTTCTGCTATGGTTTGCTGCTTTCAAAACGGGCTGGATGCTGCAGCTCATTAGTGAGGATTTTGGTTGCTTTTGCTGGATTTCCAAAGAAGGTCCTTTTCTGTTTTTACTTTAGAAACATGAAGCTTTATCTTTGGCTGGAGGGTGTCTGAGGATGAGTGGAGAAATAGTAGGATTATGACCTTACTAGATCAAAAGATAAAAGACAAGCAATTGGGAAAGGAAGGATTATTCCTTATTTTGCTAGAAACCCGCTGTTTCTTGTTATCATCTGTTTAATTCAAATATCAGAAAGACACCTAGGGTAAGAATCTGGATGTTCAGAAGCTTCAGGTACCTCATCCCTTAAAAAAATATCACACCTACTTTCCACTCTGTTTAAAAATCAAAGCAGAAAAGGAAACGTCTTGATAGTTCTCAAACAGCAAACATGTTTTTCCAGCTAAATCTTCAAGCCTCTGTTACACATGAGGAGTAGGTGTAAAATGTATTTGTTTCCTTTACGGAGCACCTTTAAATCAACTAAATAAATGTCTCTTCCCACTACACAAATTGTCACTTAAACCAGCCTTTGTGAGCTGCAATTTCCACCCATCCCTTGGTTTTGCTGCCTGAAACACCATTTAAAATATTTCCAGCATCACTCCAAATGCAGCTGAGGGTTTTTGGAAGGGAGCACTTCAAATAAGGTTGGCTGTAAAGAATTTGCCTGGCACTAAACATCTGCTGTCAGTGCTGCTATCAGCAGAGTGCCACAAACCCTTCCTCACCTGTGGGCTGCTAATAGGTTTACTGCAGTTGAGATGAAAGATGCCTACTCCATAAGCCTATCCTGTTTCTCCCTATTCTGTTCCCCCAGTGCAAACACCTGTGAAAGAAGGTAGCGTTTATGAAGGCAGGAGTCTAACAGCCCTGTTTGGAGCCAAGCATAACAAACAATCCTCCCTAAGGAGGTTAATTCACCATGGTCCTAGCTGTGAGGATTTGCTAGTCTAGCTTCTACTCCAACTCCTGTCCCCTGTGCAGTCTGCTCTGCCTCTAAATCCTGAGCACCAAGACCCTTACAAGCACTTCTCCAGAGCCAGATGTACTTAATGTCTTCTAGTGTACCATTAACTTCATCTCAAACCGAGCCCCTTAAAATTTCAGCACAGCTCTACCCAGTGAATCCTAACTGTTAGAGTGAACCTGTCAGAGCATTAAACCTCACACAGCCCAGGCAATGGGATACCCATTCTCTAGAAGAAAAGCTGATAGAAAAATCAACTCATTTGAATTCAGCTTGGCAAAACTTCCACTTCATGTCATGCTTTCTGCCAGCAGAATGAAAAGCCTTTTTATCTGAGTAAACCACCTCCAAATCCCTGGGCAGTGGGTAATAATGTCGACTTCTGTAGAGTGCTTCAAAGCATTTCTTCAAAGCCTTCACTACCTGCACAACACCATAATGACCTTTATTTTACAGCAAGATAAAGCCGTGCTCAGGAGCGGTGCAGGCCAATGGAGTAAGGTTCCATGGCACAGCATGCTCTGCATGGGGATTTGTACGTAACACTTGGGATGAGCAATGGGAGCGGTAAATTGGAAAGAGCTTCTAGGTCACAGAAGAGTGAAATCATGCAAACTGTTGCTCCACAGGCAGTAGCTAATGCCAGACAGAGTGGGGTGGACCTACAGATAAAAGTCATTCCTCTGCTCTCACCCAATACAAATCCTTTGGCACCTTTCGGTGCTCTAGGGCCACACAAAGCAGTCTGGCGTTGGGTCCTCTGGTCCCTGTTCCCTGCCTGCACTGCTCCATCATGCTATTCCTCCAGCATATCCTTCCCTGGGTGCTGGTGAAAGCTCTTTGACGGAAGGAAACCTGCACAGAAGGGCTCTACACAGGCTAAATTTGCCTGGTTCCCTCTAGGGCTTATAGATTCATGATCAATTAGCAGTTAAGTAAGTGCGTCCATAGGAGTCCTCTGCCTGCTTCTAGTCCCCTTGTCCTCCACCTTCCAAAAGGTCTGGCAGATGGGTTAAGGGAACTGCAGGCTACCTGCACACCACGGCAGACTCCGAATCCTAAACCCTGTTCGGGATCCCTGGAATCCCTCCTTAAATCCAGCCCCAAACACCTAAACCACAGGAGATACAGTAGACATTTCCACTTGTGAATTTTCATGCGAGTGTAGTTTTCATAGAAATAAGAGAGTTAGTTTTGCTTCCCTGAATAATCCACTCTTGTCAACAGAGGTTGCTAATAGAGGCTCTGCCTGGGCAGTTGGATGGAAATGAATGTATCGAGGAAACAAAGCCTTGTGCAGTTTGCAGACGTGACACTAGCTCAGTGAATGGAAATGATACACCCAGGTTTTTTATAGAAGATTCTTGGTAGATGTGTTTATTAAATGGCTTGCCTGCTGAAAGTGCTAAAGGATTCTCTGTTGTTTTCCCTTCTGGCTTGCTGTATCACGTATCTCTAGGGCTTCAGATGGAGCATCTCCACATACACTGCCCTTTTTTAGGCTTTTCCTCTTTGGCATGATCTTAATGAGCACCGCCTTTAAAGCCTACAGGCATCAGCAGATATGAGACTTCCAATCTGCCCTGCTCAGATTCATTGCACTGAGAGATTTTTCACTCTGAGGTTCGAGTCTATCCAGATGCCTTTACATTATCTTTCTGGTTTCCCTCCTGTTTGTGATCCCTTTCAACTTCCTGTCACTCTTGTGAATGCCTGTCATCCTTTTGTTCAATCCTTCTTAGAGTCATCAATAAAAACGTCAAAAAAGACCAAAGACCTGATCTCTGGGATGCCCTAATAAACATAATTCTATAATACAATAGCTCCCTGCTTAGTATTCCTGTTTCTTTGCAGTCGCTCAGCTGTGATTTGGTCCATGGACTACCTCACTCAGATCATCCAAAGAGCTAAATTTTATGATATGATATCAAATGCTTCACCAAATGCAAACATGCTCATGGATTTTTAAGATCAGAAAGAAGCATGAGAGCATCAAATATGCTCCTTTCAATCCTCGGTTGAGCTTGCTAATGGGTATTGCTAAAGCATCTCTTCCAGGAAGTCTGGAGTTGAAGACCCCATGAGATGAGAAATCAAATAGTTTGCTTCATTAATCATACATATTGCTTTTTTGTGTGTTTGTTTTAAAAAACTTTGTGTTAATTTTACTTTCTAGGCATTGTTTCTGTGTCTTTTCCCTCTAAAGATTGTCTAGTAGCCGGTTGTTTCTCACTATGCTTATTGATGTTTCATACAGTGATCTTTTGGGGTTTCCTTCTCGTTTTTTATTAACACTGCTCTTGATTCTGCAGATTTGTCTTTTGCTATCTACCTGCAGGCAGAAGTGAGTCAGTCTCTGTGATGAGGAGGATGAGAACTGGAGTTCCTAATTCTCCCCATAAACAGCTATCTGTCAGCTGTAGCGAAGGCTTCTTTTCCTGCACATGTTGCTGTTGTTTGTGTGTCCCCTGATGTGCTTTAATTTTCATGTCTTTATACATAACTCATTTTTGATCATTTAAAAGGGGAACTAAGGTTCAAGATTATCTTTACACAATGGCCCCGATTCCCTGCTCACTCAAATGTGAGCAGATGTAGAGCAACTGCTTTGAAGTCAGTGATGGAAAACGGGTATAGATGTCAGGGGAGACAGATACACTCTCTTTTGATATCTCTGGAGCAGGTCATGCAGAAATAGTATCCCAAACAATATCTATGACCAGCTGCTCATCATGTGCCTCCAGTCATTCTCCACATACCTCACATCCCATCTCCCAGCTGACAAGAAAACCAGCTAGTCCAAAAAATGGAATTACCTAATTTGCTTCCCCATTATCCGAGGCTTGTAATAGAGATGTCAAATGACCTGCTGTATTTCAGCAGCAGAACTGAAGAGGCGACTTGAGTCTCAGGTGTCAATTCTCACTACATCATATTTCCATTTGCAAAGGTCAGGGTCAAGCCTGGTGGGTTTTTTTTTCCTTTGTTCAGGAAGAGCGCCCTAGAGATTAAGTGGGATTCTTCCTGAGTTAAAGAGGGAAGGATGGGAAGGGAGAGAAAGACCCACAGGATTTAATGGAAAAACCTTACGTCTCAGGTGCTCTTATTGAGGGTAGTTCTGCTGCCTCACATTAGTTGAGCACTGGGAGCATCCTATGGCTGTGCTCCACGGCCTTAACCCATAAATTGTGGCCAGGATGGTCCAGGCTTCATTCTGTCCTTTCATTTCAGCCAACAAGCACGGTCTCTTGCCTTCCTCCATGGCAAGGACAGTGACTCACCTGCTTTGGATTCCCCAGAGGCATCAGTGGAGGAGACAGGCAGCTCCCTCCTCACACCTGTACCTGTGAGGGGTATTAATCCCGCAGGCAGGGAATCAAGGAGGGAGAGATATTTAAACATTACTTGCTCAACCTCTGAATCCAAATATATGGGTGCCTGGGTCTGGGCTTCAGCTTGAGAGCTGTAAATAAGGACCTGTAAGCTATCTAAAGCTTGTAAATCTCCCTGTCACCCTGAGAAATCAACTGACATCGTCAGTCGGACCTGCCAGGACACATTTCATTATGCTCATTACTCAGGGTTGAAAGCAAAGTGCAGCCTGCATTGCTTGGACTCTGAAGAGAAAGCAGGGTGAGCACAGTACCCATCCAGACAGTGAGTAGAGCTGAGGTGCTTCCTCTCCTGGGCTGCAGCATTAGAAGGACGGGTGTATGTTTGGTTTCCTGGCATGGAGGTTGCCAAGGAAGCAGAGTCTCCTCCACAACCATCTGCTTTGTCTCGTACGGCATCAAATATGTCAAGGAGATTTCTCCCCTGGGCCATCATGTAGACGCTTGCTGGTGTGTTTGACTTGCATGGTAGTGAAATGCCATAAAGTTAAATGAATTATTCCAAAAGCAGAGAAGGTGAAAATCTCTGCTGTGAGCTTAGTGCCATGGCAATAGGAAGTGATTTTGCTCTTGGGTTTGAGTTTCACAGTGTCAGAAAGGCTCACATTTTATATTTGAGTACCAGACGTCTCCATCCTTGTTCTTGTGCCTAAGTGAATGTCAGCCCCAGGCAATGAACTCAGGCCAGGGCCCTGTAGCAGCTTTTCATAAGCTCTCCAGCTGCATGGCTTCCCATCCATGGCAGCTCTTTGTAGACATGATGGAGGGCACAGGACCTGCCTGCAGTTCAGTGACAGCAGGGTGAAGACATCCTGTCTTCCCTGTCCATCCTTTTGCAGCAGGAAGCAGAGGTTTCTCTGGGCTGAAAGGGAGCAGCTTCTGTGAAGTGAGGAACGGGCAGAGTGAGTCAGGGAGCACTGATCCACATCCTGCACTGTGAAGCTGCTGCACAGCTCACTGGGGGCTTTTTGAATAGAGAGGCCAAGCCCTGGCTAGCAAAGCTACATCTAGACAGTTGCAGTGATGAATGGGGTGTGATTCATGTAGCAAATATACTCCCATGATGGAAACAACTTTGCTGGGGAACTGATGATGGTCAGCATAGGACAGTTGATCTCTCCTGGTTCCCTGCCCCTCTGCCTTAGATCCTGCAGGACGCAGAGACCACAGATCACCCTCCACCAGCCCCAGGCATCACTCAGGTTGTAGGAGTGACTCAAGGCATCTGCGTGGTTGGCTCTATTGGAAGGATGGATATATTTGTGGGCAGCTGAGAGTTGTTAAGGATCTTTATCAGTGTGGTTGGAACAGCTCTGCAGCACCCCCTGAAAACTCCCCATGGCTGTAGGGAGGCTGCAGTGACTTTATGCCACAGGCTTCACAGTCTGGGCTTGATAAGCAGATTGCAAGGGACCAAAGGGGTCTAGAAGAGGGCGTTTCTTATTTCAGACTGCAAATAAGAGTGGAAGTTGCAATAGGGCAAATCCTCAGTGGAAAACAGAAGGATGAAAGCTAGAGACTTCTGTGTGACTGTGTGAAGAGGTGTTTGGGAATCCAGGGATGAAATAGTCCTTTAAAGCTCCCATTTCATTCTGCATTAGGGTGTAGTCAAGAAACAATATGAGACAGTGTCAAAACCAGTTCTCAATGAATAGGAGGTTAAATCCAAGCAGTTTTATACCTTTCTTTTCCGAAGCTCAGGACCATCTTGCAGAACCTTTGGGGCTAAGAGAAGGGCATTTTCCTCCTTATTGGAAGCAGCATTGCTGTGCAATGCAGGCAGGCTGGGAAGGACCACGGAGCCTCATGTGGTGGAAGAACACCACCAGCCTGCCTTGGAGACTGCTGCTTTCTATCCTGCTATATTTCAAGAGGGCTTTAGTAACTCTTGGGTCCTCTTAAAACAGATTGTCTGATTCTTGGCAGTATATTCTGAGCATCTGATTTGTTTCGTGGCACAGAAGCATTTGTGGACCATGATGTTTCTATGTCAACACGAGCTTGAGGAGGTAATATTTCCCCCAGAAGCGGTAGGTGTTAGAATCCAGATCGGAGCTCTCTCCACATCATTATTCTCAGTAAAGGACTATCTCAATAAGACATGCTGATATGTTTTCTCTAGGTGGGATTAAAAGCACTTCAGGCTCATGCACAGAATTTTGCTTTATAAGTCTGTGGGAGAGCGCATTTTCTCCACTCTGGTCCACTCTGGTGATGCTGCCTTTGTGAAATGGGAATAATAAACTTTCCCTGCCTCCTAACAGGGCAGAGAATTAACTCTTTGAAGTTTGTAAGGCCATAGAAATGCCTTGCTATTCTTAAAATTACTACTGCTCGGGGCTTTTAAACAGCTGCCACAATTCACTTCAATGGAGGCTGCCTTGAACTGGTGGGTGAAGTGAACACAGTATATCAGGTGTTAGGCTGAAAAAGCTGTGGGATCTGTGAGGTTGAAAGGCACTATATAAATATGAGTTATTTGTAGAAATGGGTTTTATAACCCTATCATTCTCCTCTGGTGTACCTCTTAATCTAAGGGTTTCACTGTCCTTTACGAACACTTAACAAGACCTATATTAAGCTTCAAGCCTCTTCAGTGCTCATGTTTTACATTTACACTGAATGAATGCAGTGGGGACAGATCCATTGTTTGCCCAGCTTACACAGCAGGTCAGTGATGGGCCTGCTTTGGTAATGAGTCATTCATAATGACCATCTGCATTGAAAATGGTGTGAGAAACAGCTTTAGGAAGAGGCAGCTTCAGCGCTTCATGGCTTTGGGAGATTCGCTGCCTCTTCCTCTCCTTTAGGCATAGCTGATGGTCTCATTTAACAAATGTTAAAGTGGCTGCTGAGTGGATTTGGGTTACAGGCACAAGGGCCAGTCCCTGAGCTTCTGTGTTTGATCTGCATATACTTATTGTGTACCTTTCATAAACAGCAGGACAAGGATAATACATGAAATGTGAGTGTCCTCATTAATGCAGTTATGGAGGCACAGTGGGGAAACTGAGGCAATGAACAGGTATTTCAGACAATGTATGCGGTGTGCCAGACTTCTCATTGCTAGAAGATGTAGGATTTGGGCATATAAACGTTTCCTGAAGGAAGATGCATGAGGGTTTCACTGCTCCTAGCCCCTAGGTTTCTGGACTGGGAATCTTTTGAATCTGTATTGAATCTTTTGGAGCAAACCCATTTTTCCTAATCTTTGATTTAGTATTTCTGCCGGAGGAACAAAGAATCAAATGTTGATCCATAATGCTTAACAAGTCAGTTTAATCCTGGGTAGCTCTTTATTTTGCCTGTGAAGTCTCCGCTGGCTGCTAAGTTACACATCAGGCAGCTGCAGACTGGCTCACTCTTGAATTGCAGCCATAGCCCCCAGTTCTTACATGATCATAGGATCACACCATGGTTTGGATTCGAAAGAACCTTAAGATCATCCAGTTCCAACCCCCTGCCACGAGCAGGAACACCTTCCACTAGAGCAGGTTGCTGCAAGCCCCATCTAACCTGGCCTTGAACACTGCCAGGGATGGAGCAGCCACAGCTTCTCAGGGCACCCTGTACCTCACAGTGAAGGACTTTTTCCTAATACCTGATCTAACTCTCTCCTCTGTCCGTTTAAAGCCATTCCCCTTGTCCTGTCACTACACGCCCTTGTAAAAAGTCCCTCTCCAGCTTTCTTGTCACCCCGTTAGGTATTGGAAGGCTGATGCCTAGGTCTGGGATGTGTTTTAGCACTGAATGGCTCTTGGTCCTCCAGCTGCTTCCCAGAAGTCCAAGACATTCACTTCTTTTCTCTCCTGCTGTCCCTACTAAAACTTTTCCCAGTGTGCTGGCTCACAGCTGCTCTATGCTGCATATTCTGCCTGGAAAGGACAAATTACTCAGGATCCTGGAGTGATCCACCCCTCCCAAGCGCAGACAGCTTGAGGGCATGAACAGTCTGATGAGCCTCTTGTCTGGGAGAACTGCTGCTGCTTTCGAGTTTATTATCTGTGCAGCAGCAAGGCTGTACCAACACATCCTTTCTGCTGCTGCAGGCAGCAGTGGGCACATGTGCAGGGGGGCAGGGGTATGTGTGTGGATATGTGTGCTCTCCCCTACGAGTCAAGGCCAAGACCTGTATCCAAGTCCCTGTGTGCTTCCACACCATCTGAATCCCTTCACTAGTGTCTTTGCCAAGTACCTATTGATTTCAGGCACGCTGAATACAGCCCCTTAAATGCATTTGTTGCTTTGTGTCTTCAAAGTACTCAAGGAGTATTATTAGCTAATTAATCTTCCTAGTGTAGCCTGTAAAATAGGTAAATATTATTCTTGCTCTGGAGCCAGAGACATGAAAACAAGAAGACAGAGTGGCTCCACCAAGCCAACCCAGAACACTGTGTTAAGACCACTAGTGAGGACTCCTGCCTGTTGATGGCAGCCATCATCTGTGCTGCCACAGGCATACATATGTGTGGCATTCTTTTCTAGAGGAATTAACAGTATGGATTGTGTTTGTCATCCTAGTGGTATGCAGCTTGAATTCTGATTTGTAGCCCTGCAACCCACATGGGCTCGAGAAGGGACAAAGTGGAGCCTGGTCCTGGCTCTCTGCATCGCTGTGTATTAGATGCTGAGCTCTTTGTGCTCAGTTGCATTTACAGGTGCCGTGTGAGTTGGAAAATGAGTTACTGTGAGACAGCCTCTCCTTTTACAGCCACGTCATTTACAGCTGCCAAGTAAATTGGGTTTTGAAGAGGCATCAGAATTTAGGGTGTTTCTTTCCACCAAACCACTGGAATTCCCAGACAGTTGACCTGTGGAGGCAGGAGGGCTCCCTGGTGCAAAATAAAGCAGTTTATTATTGCTGTTCTCACTCTGAGCTAAAATTTCCCTATAAAAACACCCAGCTGCCAGCACTGTGGGTGGACATTATTTGCCTTACTTTTTGAATAACCTAAGTCTGAATAAGAAAAACACTCAGCCTAAGAGCTCGATGCCATTTAGGCCAGTTTCAAAAGTGAAACCATCAAAAGTGCTTTTGTTCTTTCTGCTGCTCCTGTTGTGTTACATAGAGAAGAGAGAGAGCGAGGCTGCCCAAGCAGCGGCACAGAAGAGGATTAAACTCAAGGCGAGAGGCACAGACGATACCTGGAGGTGACACGCTTCGTACTGCACGTTTCATTAGCTCCCACAAAGCTCTTAGCTGATGCCTGTTCATTAGCCGCAGACATCCCAACCCAATTGCCCATGTAGCTCTGCAAGGGATCCCATCGCTTTATCCCAATGGAGGCGCATGCAAAGCAGGAAAGCTCCCGATTTCAAGCTAGGAGGTATCATTAGGGAGTCTGGTCCATCAATATTTCACTGCATCTCTGCTCCACGAGGGAATGGGCTGTGGGATGTTTCTCTGTAGCTCATGTGCTTCTTAAACTTATCTCCTTGGCAACTCTTTGGTTTAAACAAAGATTATTTTGGAACTGGAGCTGTCAAAAAACGCAGCAGCTCCAGGAAGTTTTCTTTTAGAATATGTTGGCTCGGCAGCACCATCTTCTGTTCTGCCCTTTAAACAGCCTTGGATGTCACACTTCAAAAACGGGTGCATGCGCCTTGGTTAGAAGGGAACTGTGTGAAAGACTGAGTTGATGTTTTCCAGGCTGGGAATCGAAGCCATAAACCAGATACATCCCAACAGGTTGGGAGTGTGAACAGCAGTGCAGACGAGGGTGAGGTAAACCCTCGCAACCAGGGGCAAATTGTTCCAGGTCAAGCAGTTTCCCAGGTGAGGAGCCTTCCCTTCGATGGTTGTACTCCTGCTTGTAGGATTTTCACTGGGATGGCTTTAAGGGACCAGGAACTCAGTGCCTGCTCTGCACAGTCCATCTCCTGCGCTCACTGAGCTCTGCTTCCCTGGGGCTTTGTTGTTGGCTTTGCAGAGCTTTGAGGTGAAGACTTTCCTCCTTCCATAGAAGTTGCTCAATGGTTGTGTTTTGGTGGTGCTGCGTACATGCTAGGTCCCACTCAGCAAAGCCCAGGGAGATCCCAGGGCAGGGAGAGGGCAGAGGGAGGAAGGACTCGAAGGAGGCAAGGTGAAAAATAAGGAATTACAGGAGGATCTGCTCCTTGTCCCACTTCTCCACAGCACACTGGGATTCAGGCAGAGATCGGTGGCAGCAAGGTTAAATTAGGAGGGCAGCCACAGTCATTTCTCATATCTTCTGGCTGGCTGCCGTCTCCTCTCAACGTCCTGCATCCATCCTTTGAGCTGGCAGCTCACCCCCTTTTACCTCCAAATACAGCTCAGCTTCTTCAGCGTACCATAGAGGCAACTGCCTGCATGTATCACTGTAGTGTATGCATGAGAGAGAATATTCCTATTTACTTTTTACTTCAGAGCATTGTTGCAGGCCCTAAGTAATTAATACCTGAGCTCAGCTCCTCGTGTGGCAATCACCACACAAGAGAAAAGTGTTCTTATGAAAAATACAACAAAGCCCTCAAACCTAAAACACAGCCGCTTGCTTGTAAGAGACACTCTGTGGCAGGATTCTGCAACACAGCGATCAGTCTCGCTTTAATATACAGGCCGGGGTAATGTAAGAAATACTTGGAGAGCAGCCACAGCCTTCACAGCAGCTGCTGCTACAGTTTTTTGTCAGGATTAAGTTCATTTCAATTATAGAAAGGCTTGTGATCACCTGCTAGGAGCCTTTCAGCAGTTCAGGAGGCTGAGGATGTGTATACAGCTATATTTAAATACCAAATGCATCGCATACTCCACCACCATCCCGTTTGCACAGCGCTCTGCAGACATCCCCTAATTAAGTGCTTAAGTATAGATTTCTTCTTCCTTTATGGCGTGATATCAGCGGATTTTCTTAAGGAGATAATTTAAAGAAAGTGTGGAGGCTGAGTACAACGGGCATCGTGCCTTGCGAGCCTTTGTTACCGCTTGCATTGCTCAGGCAATGCCAGAAGAGGGCCGAGCACCGTACCTATATTGGTGCTGCTCCAACCCTGCAATTCATGCAATGGAGCCATGAAATGTTCTGTCCCAGTGTTAAGTGCTCAGAGAAAAAGGAGACTTTCATTTTGCACAGGGGG